CCCCGCCATTTGAGCGGGAAAACCGGCTCTTCCCCGCTTCCCTCAGAGCCGGGCCGCTGCGGGAGCGCCGCGAAACCCGGCACGGCTGACGCGACCCTCGGGGCCGATGCGCCCCTCTGCCACAGCGAGGGCGGCGGCGGTCCCTCCGACAGGTGCGCCAGGGAGCGCCCCCGGTTTTCTTCCCTGATTTTGGAGAGAATGAGCCAAACCGCCACAGCCTGCAGCCACGCAAAGCCCACCTGGTGCCTCCTGTGCAGAGGGACCTCGCTGAGGGCCTGTTACGGTCCCAAAGTTTACCCTGAGGCTTTCTGGGATGCGAAATTTGGACAAGCGATATAAAAAGCGCATTAAAAGTTTGTTTTTTCTAGCGCGCGCCATCGCCTGGTGCTCCGCCTGTCTCTGGAGCAGCTGTCGATGGATTCCCCCAAGCCTCGCTCGGCCGTATCTTTGGAAGAATACACTTCGCACTTGAGCATCGGGGTTTCGTCATCTGTTTCACAGCTCTAGGATCACATTCGTATCACACCTCTAAATATAGCGGGCAGACCTGTCAGCCAACAGCGCTAGTCAGAATTAGAGGGATACAACCAAAGGCGGTCAGGGCTGGATCTTCTTCCTCTCGTGTGCGTCTGGCTTCTATCAAAGTAGCACCATAGAATCATTTAGGTTGGAAAAGACCCTTAAGATCATCGAGTCCAACCGTGTCCCTAAGCGCCGCGTCTGCAACTGTTAGTGACTGCGCATTCGGAGTGGATTATTCAGATTACTTGTAACGATATTCATAGTCAACCTGTTGCAGAGTACGTGAGGTGGAGAAAAAGCTGTTTGATCCAGTGCTTTGGATACTACCTAGCAGTACACCACAGTACCTGTCTGGCTGTAGTTTAAGAAACCAGCTAATACCTCTGGGCTAGCAGCACCGAAGTCGAGTAGCTGAAGATCTTTGCTTACTGTGAACACCCGCCGTAACCACCATTATTGCTTTATTTTGAGGATGGCCACCGGCTACTTGTCCTCCTTCCCTTCCCCGTTTCCTTGTACGCACATGGTTGCCGGGCATTTGCAGGTGGAAGAGCAAGGCCGTGCAAAACGAAGCTCTGCGAGTTCTCCCAAGGCGGGCAGGATGACAAAACACAATGGCAGCATTCATACCGCCAGTTACGCCATCCGCGCCTCCATTGTTCTGCAAAACAAAATGAATTCAATGGGAGACGCGTTGCAAAACGACTTCAGCAAGAAGAAGGAATCCCTCTGCCAGCAGAAATGGGAAATTGAAAACAATAAAAAGAGTTTGAGAAAACCATTAATTAAGAAATGAGTTGTTTGAACTCTAGCTAGCGTATAAACTAATTTAAAAATCTCCTGCTGTCAACTTTTCTGCTATCAGTGGGAATAAGGGAATAATGGGAAAGGAGCGGAGGTGACCAAGACAGAAGGGGCAACCAAAAAAATAACAGAAGTACTAAAGCTGCAGGAAAAGAAATCACCCTATCTTGCATATTTATAGGTTAGCCCTTAAATAAGATGCGGTCTAGTCAAAGCTTTCCCTGTTTGTCAGCCATAGGGACACCGTGGGAGGCTGGGCCCTGGCGGCACCGCTCGGGCTGGCAGCAGCGGACAGAGGAGCGGGGCCGAGCTCTGCCCTGCCAGGCTCTCAGCGGTCCTGCCGTGCCCCGGGAGTCATCCACCGGGCCGACCGCAGGAGGGAAAGTGCCAAATCTGAAGTTAATTACTTACTGTCTGCCTGGAGTGCAAAACTCGTAATGCTTTCGCAGGCATTTGACAAACCCAGAGGTGCTGAGGAAGCAGCCAAAACGGAGGGAGGCCAGGAGTAAAAGAGCCAGGGAGAAGAGGCGTGCAGAGATGAGCTCCTGCAGTAACGCCAGCGGTCTGAACCTGCGCGGATGCTGCTGTTCTGAACTGTGAGATGTTGGTCGTACTTATCTCCTAACATATTTTACATTAACACCAACTGCTTTTCTGACCGGAGCTTTGCTTTTGGATTATCAGTGCTATATAAACTCACAATATTCACGCTTCCTGCGTCAGACAATAGCTACATCCCCTTACGTAGCAGGTGTTGAAATGACCGGTCTTGCGTAGCTACTTCCCTTACAACCGAATAAGTTGTGAACAAGCGATCTTGTGCCATGATAACGGCTTCATAATGAAGTGATGATGTTGCAGGGTGGCAACTGCATTTTGGGGCTGAATGCGTGTATGCGTACTCTAAGGACAAGAAGTGAGGTGCTTGCTTATAACAGGAAACGGAGTTGTTTGAAATGTCACTTTCTGTTGAGCCTAATTTGAGTTTATTAACTCATTGGGTCTCATCCTGTCTATGTTAGTCATCTCAACCCTTTTCATTACTTTCAGTGGGGTTTAGATGAAGAAAAAACCAAACAACTTGCGTGCTATATTGAGTACGTAGGGATCAGATTTCAGCAGAGCGGTTTTACCTCTGGTATATCTGGGCTTCGCTGGAAAACTCTAGGGACTATATGTTCATTCTGTCCCAAGGTATACGACATAACTTGTGCCTTTCTCCTGAGCCTGATTAAATGATTCGTTCTTTTCTAAACCTCTGCTAAGGTTCATAACTCATAGCAGATTCCAAAAATCATTTGTGTTTTGTCTAAAGAACTCCCTCCATCTAACAAAGAAAGCGCAGCGCCCTTCACTTTATTGCAACAGCTCCGGATCTGGTATCATGACTTACGCAGAAGGCCTGGCTTTCATTTATTCTCTTCCGTTTGCTGTTTTCATTGTGTTCCCCTCCCTCGACTACGCAGTACCAGCCTTTTCAAGCCGTCTTTCACCATCTGCCCCCAAACTTCCCAGCCTTTTTTCTTTTTTTTTTTTTTTAAAAATAAGCAGCCACATTCCAACCCCGATTCGGGGGTGCAGACCCCTCCGCCCACAGGGACAGCCGAGACGGGCTCAGCCCTTGCTGGAGCAACCGGCGACCGTGGCGCTGCCACAATGCATCCCGTCTTAGAGCTGCTTGTGTAAAATTAATAAATTAACTAATTAATAAACCAATCAATAAATTTTTAAGACATCCCTCAAAATACGGAGTTTTAAAACAGAATCCTGATGAGCGCATGCAGATGGCCTCATGCGTGAGGGGGGCAGGAGGTGCCCTCGCTCCTTTTTGGGGCAGACGGCAGCGAGCCCCAGCTTTTGGGTGAAACTCAGCCCTTCTGAGGGGCTGGGGGGCTTCTGGAGGCTCCTTCCCGGGGCCTCGCGGGCCACCTCTGGGCTCCCCCGGAGAGAGCCCTTCTCACAGGGCAGGCGCACGTTCCTACGCGCTTTCGTTGTTTATTCCTAGAATCACAGAATGCTTTGGGATGGAAGGGACCTTTAAAGGTCACCTAGTCCGTCCCCCCTGCGCTCGGCAGGGACATCTTCAACCGGATAAACGCGACACGGCCACGGAGCTGCCCGCCGCCATCGGCGCC